GACTTGTTAGGTCATCATGACTTTATCCTTACAGGTGGTCCCCAATAATAAATGCATTACTTATGGGAGGATGCTAAGGTATTTGATTGGTAGGTTTAGGAGGTGATGTCATAGACCTTTTCATGTGCACTCTCCTGATTGGTGGGTCATATATTCTGTCAGTGATCCTTTAATCATTATGTCTCCTGGTGAGGTCGGATTACCCCCCTAGGTCGGAGCTCGTTCTGGTGAGGTCGGATTACCCCCAGGTCGGAGCTCGTTCTGCTGAGGTAGGATATCAACAATATTGTTGAAAAATTGTAATACTCATAAAAAATGTGATTAAAATTAATTATTAACTTTGATTTAAATTAAAATCTATATTTTAATTCCTACCACAAAAAAATAATAATCTTTTTAATATACAAGAATCAAATAATCAAATTGATCATAAATAAAATTCTTAAAGGCAAATCAACGTTACTGACCTTTTATAAACGATTTTTATTTCTTTATTTTATTATGTATAATATAGGTTGGTTTTTAATTCTTTAAATTTAATCGATCGGTTTGATCCAACTTTCAAAACATTGATTATAGTAAAATATCGTCAATCACATATGGTGTGTAAGCAATATTCATAAACAAGTTATTTTATAAAATACTTATTCCCATTGTTTTCCTAAACAAATTCCGTCCTTTTTATTTATTATTTATCAGCATTTAAATTTCTCATTCGAGGTTCGACTATCCTTCGAATCGACAAGTATAAATTTTTTTTTTCTTACTTTATCTTTTTTCTTAGGTTTCTCTCTTTTCTTCTTGTTTATTTAAAGAAAAAAAAAAATAGATCCGTCATTTTACAATGTTTTAATGGAAAAAGAGGATTTCAGAGATGTTTTGCTCGCATTTGTTGATTCGAGAATGCATTACATCAAAATTAAAGAATATAAATGATTAAAGTTAGCCTTTGTTTGAGCTTCATTTTAATGACATTTTGGAAAAAAATATATTTTAGAATAATAATTTTATGAAGAATGAATGATTAAAAATTAAGGAAGGATTTACATGTAATATTAATTTATTGAATAATGTGTTGTTGAAAACGAGTTTTGAAAAAAAATATATTTTTGATTTAATGGAGTCCAAACAAGTACACATCTTTCAATATTTTACATTTTATACTATTTAAAGATATATGAATTAATTGAATATTGACATCTAAAAAATATGTTAAAATAGAATTATGAAAACTCAATAAGCCATTGTTTGATTTAGCTAAATATCAGTCTTTAGTAGAATTTGATATTAATTAATGAAATTTGTGACAGAAAAAATGGATTAAAGTTATAGATTCCTTAAAAAGTGTTTTGAAAATGAGTTTGAAAAAAATTAATTTTTAAAAATGGGAACCATAAATAGACCAAATGTTTATTAAAACAAAATAAATAATCAAAATAGAGAGTGTTGTTTGAGTGTATGAAAATTCTCTTTAAATTTAAATATATCCTTTATTATGCATGGAATAGTACTATTCATAATCATCGACTGTAATAGTCGTTCTACTTTTCATAATTTTAATAATTACAAAATAGGAATATTTTTAAATAATAATAAGTGAAATGGGATTCAATTTATCAATCCTAAGAATATCATAACATATCACGTAGGATGTGATTATTACAATCGTCGATTTTAAATAACATTATTCTTATATTTATGGTCCTCCTTCTAAATAGATGATCTATTGAAAATGCTCTAAAAAGTTAAAATAAATAATCTCTCGAGCTTACTTTTAAATACCTATTCTCTAAAATAAATTTTTTTTTTTTTGTAATTGAGAGTCTTTTGAAACTAGTTGTTCAAATAGCATGATTGTTTTGAAAAGAATAATGCTCCAATTTTGTTGCTAGGTAAAATCGCGTTGTTCAATAGCATGTGTCCATTATGGAAAATACTATGTAGCATTTTCCATAAATTTATTTGATTTTTGTGTCTTTAATTGTTTAAATTATTGTTAAATTTAGTCTCTGATTGAGCCATATTCTCATCATTCTATTCATTTTTAACAATACATTTTTTAATAAAATAATATTTTCCATCATATCAATAACTTTTCATTCTTTTTTAACCATATATTGACAACCACATCACAAAAAAATGCATTATCTCCTAAAAAATGTGCATCAAACACACTCTTAACGTATAAAAAGCTTTCAAGTACAATTTCACAAAAATGTCAAATTTAATATCAATAAAGATATACATTTGTGTGATTGAAATTTATTAAATCATGTTACATGTACCTTTATTTGACATTATTTTTTACATTGTGCCAAATGTCTATATTTGATTGGTCGGTTTAAAAAAAATACACATTTTTCTGTTCAATATTTTTTGAATTCTCACACAATGTCAACTAAAGTGTACTAACGTACCTTAGCACAATTCAAATAAGCTCATGTTTGACGTACATTCTTTTAAAATTCATTTTCAATCACACATTTTTCAATAAAATAATATTTTTCATCACATCAATAACTTTCCTTACTTTTTAATTATATATTTCACATAACATCACTATTTAAAATACATTCTTTTCGTACTCATCAAAACCCGACACAAAGTGACTATGCCACTGCTGTCAGCTGTCTCGTTCACTGTTATTAGCATTTCCCTTAGTCCCTATTTGACACCCATTAATTTCTAATTTTCATTTTTATTCTTCATTTCAACCATATATTCTCCAAATAAAATAATATTGCACACAAAAAAAATATTCATCACTTTTCCACCACATTCTCGTATCAATCATTATACCAAAATATCTGTCAGGTGGTCATTTTGGGCCATTTTAATCAATAAAGTGATCGCTTGTAGGGCTTGCACCACTCATGGCCAGTCAAACAGTGCGGCTGATGTGATCCGGTAGGAAATGCAATTATTTTTATTCTCTTCACAAATAGATTCCAACACAAGCTTATTTAAAAGCCTTCATATCTGACATACAATACAATACAATACTCATCTTCATTCGTCAACTGAAGCAAACATTTTAGACAGAGGGAGATGGAGGAGAGAGATATAGATGATCTGCCCAAGAATCCGGCCAACTACACGGCGTTGACCCCACTTGGTTTTCTGGAGCGGGCTGCGCTGGTCCACCCGACCCGAAAATCTGTAATCCACGGTTCTGTATCTTATACATGGCAGCAAACTTACCGCCGCTGCCGCCGATTGGCCTCCGCCCTCACAAACCGTTCCGTGGGCTTTGGTGACACGGTCAGTGATTATCATTTTTTTACTTACGACTCCACGTGGCGCTAGATGATAGGCTAAGCCTATCCTTTAATCACACGTTAACGTCACCTAAACTCGATCTAAAAAGCATTACTCTGTAATTATTAATATTTTAGAGTCTGTAATTAACGTAGGAATTGATTATTGGTTTTAGGGAGGTTGTAGGGTTTAATTGCCAATTAATGAATTGAGTAATTAATATAAAAAGTAAATAAAAAAAATTATTCGTCATTTTTTTAGTTGTATATTGCTATTCATACTTATCATACATGTGCACGTTATTCAGACATTAACATAGTTTTTTTTTCTTTTTTTTTTTTTTGGGGTTCAGTTAATGCATATAAAGTATAATTTCTTAAATATAAGGTTTTGTCATTCATTTTCCTCCTCACAATTATATACCATTTCATGAGGATATTTTTATTATAGAGAGTAAGTTTTCTCTTATTTCAAGCGAAAAAATTGAGTAATTTTATTCGTAGTCGGTAGCATCATACTTAACAGCTTATTATTTGTGACAACGTAATTATGGGAAAATATTGCCTTAAATAACAAGATGCCACGTAGAATGATTACTGTGGTCGCTGACTATGAATAGTATTGCTAAAAAAAATTTACTTATTTTAAAAAGTAATTCTTAGCTTATCATCAAAATAGTTAGCTTATTCTAACTTTAGCTAAAAAGAAATATTTATTTTATTACTTAATTACTTATAAGGAGTTCTTTTAAAAGGATGAACCGCATCCTTAGTGACCCCCACCTACCATGTTCTAGGCATTGGTGAAGGAGGTAAATCGCAGGTTATGCCTCCAAGGGTATAGGGTGGAAGGCTACTTGTACACTTACACTTACTCAAGGGCCAAATCCATATTTCAGGATTCGAACCCTTGACGCGGCAGCCTTAAGCAAAACTGGAGTTTTTCCACCTTCCCCTTTTGCCACTTGGAGATGTGCCCTGAGGGCTATAAGGAGTTCTTTTAAGCTATGCTAAACATGCTTCTAGCCTATACTTATTAATTGCTTAGTTATTTAATTCTTTTTCTGCTATTTCACTATCAGTTCCAATTTTATTTTATTTTATTTTTTAATTACGACAGATAAAGTCTTGTGTATTGTTGAATGAAGCTAATTTTCCACATTTGTTTTTCCTGTTCACTCATATGTAAATAAGAAAGTTTTAAAATAAGTAAATTTTTTATTGATGAAAATTGAAAATAACGAAGTTACTTATTTTGATGAAAGAGTTACTTTAATAAAACACAATTTTTAGTTAAAAGTAAGAAAAAAATGAATTATGCTAACTTGTTTTCAGTTCGAAGATCAAACGTCACTAGAGGAACTATACTTCTTGTAGTAGAAAGGAGAAAACTTTACTTTTTTAGGCTTAGCCATAACATGTTTCTTCTTTTAGATGAATTGCAGTAGCTGGTCAGGCTATTGTAGGCATGACAACAAATTTTCTTCTCTATTTGACATATTTTCTTAGATCGAGTTTCTATAATTGTTTGAGTAATATATATTACTCCTTCTATCCTATAAAGATAAACTTGCTTTTCTTTTTTGTCCGTCCCAAGTTATAAGTCACTTTCCCTGTTGAGAGTATAGTTAATATTTTAGTTTTCTAATACGTCCCTAATTAATATGTCTTGTTATCAACAAATATGAACTATTCCTATTTAAATCATTATTTAACATGAGAGTGTATTAGGAAAAATGTAAGAAAAAATTATATTTCCAATTATATTAGTTACGTTTTCTTAATCTGTGTGAAAATGGAATCAAACATATCTTTATGGGAGGAACGTAGTAATTTTTTTTTTTTTTTTGTCTTGATTTGGGTATCCCAATTTATTAAAACAACCATGAACTTAAAAAGAAACTACGCGTAGAGTATCAGAGATGAGATTGAAAGGATAAACATTCAACTTGACTCATCGCAGTGCACATTCTAAATTGATGGATAAAACAACTTATGATATATATACATTTATTAGCCAACCATGGAATGATCTACAGTGGCCTCACCATTGTAAAGAGTCAAGTCATTATGTTAATTTGATTTAGCGCATTGTGCTCTGTATCTTTTCAAATGGGTGTTGTTTATATCCATATATCATTGCTTTCTTTCACTTTATAGTTTATACTATTATACTATTTCTGGGGTTATAAATGCAGTACTTGGCTTAAATCAAACCCCAATGAAGATAATTATATTGTTTTCCTCTTCATACGAGCTGTGAATTGTTGCTGGATTTTTTAGTCAAGTATTTATATTCCAGTTAAGATTTATCTCTTTCTGGGATTAATGGCAGGTTGCTGTGATTGCGCCAAACATCCCAGCCACGTTTGAAGCTCATTTTGGAGTTCCAATGTCCGGAGCTGTTTTAAATGCTGTTAATATTCGTTTAAATGCACAAACCATTGCTTTTCTTTTAGGACACTCAAAATCTTCAGTCATAATGGTGGACCAAGACTTTTTCACTTTGGCAGAGGAAGCTTTGAACATTTTAGCCAAAAAAAATAAAGGAAATTTTACTCTTCCACTTCTAATTGTTATTGCCGATGAAAACTGTGACTTGAAAACTCTCCAATATGCTCTGGGACGAGGCGCAATGGAATATGAAAAATTTCTGGAGACCGGTGACCCGAATTTTGCGTGGAAACCACCACAGGATGAGTGGCATAGCATTGCGTTGGGATATACTTCAGGAACTACAGCTAGCCCCAAAGGAGTGGTGCTGCATCATCGAGGGGCATACCTCATGGCTTTGAGTAATGCCATTGTATGGGGAATGCAGGAAGGGGCCGTGTACCTGTGGACTCTACCAATGTTCCACTGTAATGGTTGGTGCTTCACTTGGACACTTGCGGCACTTTGTGGTACAAGCATATGCCTTAGACAGGTAACCCAAGTGGCATTTTTCTCAAGCATGTACAGATAATTGGCTCTTAATATTACTCTTTAATTATATGGATGATGTAGTTTGTCTCACTAGGCCGGCCCAAATATTTAAGGCATGTTTCTATGCAGTACTAGACAGGATTGGATGGTACAATAGACAATATTTTAACTTCTTTTTCTTCTTTAAAACTGTCCAATCTATAATTATTTCACGGCGTATGCTGATTTTAACTTGTTTATGTCGCTGAAGGTGGATTTTATTCATTTTTGGTCAATGTTATACATCACTACTATTGAAGATAATATCAAATCAATATTATCCTGATTTGATATTATCTTAATTTGATTTTCATATCTACCTTAA